CTCAAAAGAATAAAACAAGTCTATAAAGACAGTGAAAGCTATTTCTCCTTTAATCTACTTCACACAGTTTTTGATTCTGCATGACAAAAAACCAGTCTGTTACTTGTTAGGATTTCTGGGGACAGACTGACCATGGCAGAGACAGTAGGGGATGCTGCAATTATTGCAATGTAAAATGATGAGAGCTCAGCTAAGTGTCCTGGTATGACAGCTGAGAGAACACGAGTAACATGCCAAAGCAACTGCAACAGAGTTCACAGTTTTCTTCTGCTGGGCTGTTGGCAGGATGGTGTGAGTGTCCTCTGAGCAGCAAATGAAGCAATCGCTCTCCTTGTGCCCAGGTGTCTTTGCAAGAGACTGAGCAGAACATCCCCCCACTCCATGGCTTCTAGCTCAGTCCTGCTCTATAATCTCTTGGTCCTGAGTCACATGCAAAAGAACGGAAAAAAGATTTCATGCTAAAATTTAGCTGGGTTCTTCAGGCAGGTGGTCATGCTACTGTCAAATTTGTACGCTTGTTTCTCCATTTGTGTTCTCTTTAATTAGCTGATAAGATTTCCTCATGCTGTCCTTTATGCATCACAACATGGCATCCTTGTTTGTGGACCTATGTGGCCAGTGTTATGGTGATCTTCCAAAACTGACATAGGCCTAGTACTTGAACACCAGGACTTCCCACAGTGTCTCAGACAGTGGGAAGATCTGGGACATGTGCATAGAGGTATTTGGTTACTTTATAATCAGATTGGCTGAGTGGAGCAGGGCACAGAGCACTGTATAAAAGCAGCTGGACTCTTGGTGACCATGCTCTGTAGCCAGTGTTGAAACACCCAAAGGAACACTATAATGAAAAACCTCTTTATGGTGTGAATTATCCAGAACAATCAATCAATTTCATTGATTATAAGAAATTGCTTTTCATAGACATGGCTTTTCTTATACTAATGCAAATGTGTGTGTGTTTGAGCAGAGGACCTATGAATTGCCAGACTTTGCCCTTAGCCAAAGGCCCCATTTGTCTAGGGACCTACTGCACTGGAACTGGGCTCTGACTTTATGAAGTCAGCAGGGCATTTACTAAGGGTTAGAGATACTGTAGGGCCTTTGGTCACTGTCAGTGCTGGCAGATGCTGTTCTGTGATGGCAGAATAGCTCTGCTGCTCCACATCCTTCCCAACACTGTCACTGCCACATCCAGCTCTGGTTGCTTTTGATATAAGAACTTTCATCCACATTCTTTTATCTTGGGCAGGACAAGAATAATATAGCCCTTAATTTATAGTAAACATGGACCCATTTAAAATAAATCCCTCAATTTGTCTTACAAATAACATTTAAGTGCTTTTGAATTGAAGAGATGTTTGAAAAACCATTTCCTATCAGAGATGCTATTTGTTTCATTTTATGCAGTTCATTCATCTTAGTTGATTGGAGAAAAAAATAAAAGCCAACCCCAGCTAGTGAGAGTAAACCTTGTCATAGTACTATGCTGCTGAAGATTTGGCAGGATTTTTTATTTGGAGCCTACCTCCACACACATTATTTACAATAAGTATTACATCTTAATATAAAAGTAATTTGGGGGTTAGATGCTGTGCAGAATTTCAAGAAGATAATTCTGAATTGACTGGCATTTTTGTGTGCCTGATTTAACATTTGTAATTGAGCCTGATTTCTTTGTTCAGGGGAATGCACCAATTTTCTCTGAAAAAAGTATCCAACTGGACACTCAGGCCCCTAATGACTATAGGGAACTTGGCCCACATGATTTATTTAAGAGACAATTATAAATAGACATATGTATGTTTATGTAAGGTGTACATAAACATCTATGAAGTAGAAAGGCAACTAGTCTTAAAAGCAAACAATAACACAGGTTTCCATGTACCATGTAACCATGGAGTTGTGTAGTTTTATAAAGAAAACTTGTGGTTGGTGAATTCCTTCATCTTAAGGTCACAGAGAATTATAATCCTAAATATTGCTGACTTGCTTAAAATGATTGCAGCTGCTCTCTTCTGGTTGATAGACCTCTTCTCAGAAATTGTTCCTAAGATACTTTTTAACTCTCCATTTTGTGTTTCTAAGTAATATGCTGGATGAAAAACATTCCCTCTCTTCTTTGTCAAGCTCCTTCTCTGCTTGTTTCATCCAGAATAATGCAGGAGGACCTGCACAGCTGTAGTTTATCCCTTCTTGCCATACAGAAAGGAAAAAACATTCCTTGGCCAATTCTTATCTGCTATTCTTGTATCACTTTATCAGTGAAAGGAATGGGAAAGGCAAATGACTAATCTCTTCAGCTATTAGCAACTTCTGTATGTAAGTATCACTCTACAGTTCTTTCCTCCAACTGTTCTGAGATAATTTCAGATTACTTTAGGCTTTGGCTAATATGTCTTCCATTTTTACTGGAATCAGAATGAAAAATATCATAGTCACTTTTTTTTAAGGATGCCTAAAAATGTTAGGAAAATCTTTCTAGCAGAACAGGCCTTACCAGCACCTTCAGGAACATCCTGGCTGTCAAAATTAAAATATTGGTGTCTGCTTTTGTCTAAGAACTGAAACACAGATTGGTATTGCTTGTGGTCACTGCAGCTACATGAAAAATACCATTATACACACACTGTACATGGAAACAGAAATTCATTCAAACTCCAGATGGCATATTGATGTATATGCACACAGTGCTACAGCCACATTGCTGCCCATAGCCTTCCCTACAGACCAGCAAACCCTATTTGGACCTTATGAATTGATTCTGAGGTACAAACTGAGGCAGAACCTGAGCGTTAAGAGAGAGTGCAGAATTGCTATGGTGCTTTCAGGAGACTTTCCTCCCTCAGGAACACTGGCCATATCCATGTTTTGCCCTGCAAATACATGCCTGTTCACTGGAACTCAATTCTTTGGCACGTGGGATCCAGCCCTCCTTGCCTGTCTCTTGAGCAGTACCTTCCTCACTACTCCTGGACATAGAGAATGCTAAGTAGGTACAAGCCACTGTGTTTTCCTTGGAGGGTCCTTTCAATGAGAGGTATGCAAAGCCTGGACAATGCATCAGCACTGGAGCCGAGCATATAGTGTTGGGCCTGGCATCTGATTTCCTGCAGGACAAGTGTAGCTGGCAGGGAAGCATGGGGAGTGCTTTCCTCAGTGCTCTTGTCTCTAGGGGCTCACTGAGGACCATCTGAGCCCATCCAAATCTCCTACCAAGACCCATACATTGGCAGGGTGGGCATCTGCCACCCTAGAGTAACTACATATCCTGAAGACTGCACTTGGCACTTCCACCTGGAAGGGGGTCTGCTTCATTACCCTCTCTGTCTTTTACTGGTTAAGGGCAGACTTTCCCTTGGACCATTTTGGGTGCTGAGGAGGGTAGGTGGGCACGCTCCGCTCAACCACCCAATGCTAAATCTAGGCATGGGAGAGGACAGAGTCAGATCTGTGACCACAGAGTGGATCATCGTGCTGGGGTGAGGCTGAGAGCCCCATGAACAACAAGGGTGCAGGCATCCATTGGGCAGGGCAGGATGAGGATGCAGACGCATGTTGCTTTCTGTTCAGGCTGATTTCACGTTGCTTAGCTTCCAAGGGGCTCTGAGAATAGCAATTAAAACACCAGGCTTAATTGAGGAGTATCCAATTTGGATATTAGCGTTATCTCTGCTCTCACTGCTTTCTTTTCTTTCAGATCCAATTCTGCTGCCTGCCTGTTGGCTGGGCGCCTGTTCCTTTCTTCTCATTATTACTATTTTATGGTTATTGTTAATGTATTTTTTTAAGCATTCCTTCTCTTGGTCGCTTCCAACCATGTGAGTCGCGGTCCGAGGGGGCGTCGGACCCAGGCAGCCCCCGTTGCTCCCCGCGGGGGCTGCGGCGGCAGCTCAGCCCCGGCCAGGCAGGAGGCACAGGTGCCTCTTCGCGGCTCGGCCCCCGGGCACGGGCTCCCTCTTCGACCCTGCCGGACGTCGGAGGCCGAGACCTGCCCGCCTCGGTAGCGCTTGGTCTCCCGTTGCCCGTACTGTCTCTTCTCCTCCTCCTCCACCTCCTCCACCTCCTTCGTCTTCTCCCCCCGTTTCCCCCACCGCTCACTCGCACAGCCCTCCTCCCGCTCCCCCGAGCCTCGATTTCCCACCCACCCCCCCTCACCATTTTCCGCGGGTGTGTTTAATTATTATTAATCATTAAGCTGCTTTATTAGTCCACGTTCCTATGTTTTCTCTACCTCCGGGAAGCATTCTCGGATCTTTTATATTGCAGAGGATTTTTTTTCAAGATGTATTTTTAGGGTGATGGTCTGAGCATTTCCCCCTCCCCGCCCCGCATCTCCCACCCGGGCAGTACCAGAGAAGGGACTGAAGAAGTTGAGCATGTCTGAGGTGGATCAGCCTTGCAGGCAGAGAGGGGGCAGTAGCTACTCAGAACAGCCCGAGTGCTTGAAGCAGGATTTGCTGGTATGTATGTGGGTCTGGATTTTATGACAGCTGTAAGTGTGAATCTTTTTCCGTGCGAGATGGGAGGGGAAAAGAAAAAAAAATACCTACGGCTTCATTAAATAAATGCCTGCATAGCTGTAAGCCCGGTCCGGCTGTGCACCACCGGTGGTGGCGGGGACACTCCCAGCCACCCACCCACCCGTAGGAAAAAAAAAAGAGCCCGAGCAAAGCCCGGAGAGGCGAGGGTTGTGTTGCGGGAGGCGAAGGGGGGCGTGGTGGAGGGCGCGTAGTGCAAACCGGCCCCGTGGCAGGTGAAGCAGCCCCCACGGGCCCCCCCGGCCCCGGTGGCGGTGCGTGTGCGTGTGTGTGCGCGGAGCGCGCCCCGCGCTGCCCGTGGAGCCGAGCGCGGCGGGCAGCAGTGCCGGCAGCACTGCAGAGGGGTGGGCACGGCCCTCGCCAGCCCTCGGGGCTGGGCCCGGGGGTGGGCGAAATGCTGTGCGTGCGTGGGGAGGGGGCCGTGGCGGGGGAGTCGCCTTCTCTCCGCGATTCACATCGCGCCCGCTTTCCCGTCTCGTATGCATGCCTATCCCGGGAATGGTGTAGTCAGCCCGTATCTGAATTATTTATAGACTCGTGCCAGCTGATTTTTTTTGTTGATTTTTTTATTATTATTATTTTTTTTAAATTTCGCTTGTGTGCACTGTTGGGAAATGCGTTTTGTCTCCCTTCTTTCTCAATATATTAATGTCTTTGTTGGGGAGCGGTTTTTATCCCCTTCAGATCCCTCTAATACAAAATTGATGCTTATTTTTCCCTTCAGGAAGGGGACGCTTTGAGGATAATCATGCTTCACAGAAGAACGGCACCGACCTCCAGTTGCATTAAACACAACCTCTTCCAATAGGGCTCCAGGAAAAAAAAAATTATAAGAATAATCATTAAAAAGGCGAGAGGAATGCTTGCTCTGGAACCTGCATTTGACGATCCTCACCAGTCGTGCTGAATATCCTCTGTAGTGATTCTCTCCAGCTTTTGAATTTGCACCGCTTCAAGACGCAAGATTGCCACAAAGAAACCTCTATTTTTTTTTACAGCCAAGCAGGATTGTTTTTTAACTCGTTCCCCCACATTTGCCCCCCGACCCTTATTCTTCTTATGTGGATATGCAAGCAAGAAGAGGAGACTGGACATTCCCAACATGCTCTCTCCCTTGATCTGTCCGTCTAGAGGTTCTGCTTCTACAAACCAAGGTAGGGAAATTCATTTCTGTGGTTTTGTTGGCAGCTCATTTTGGTACACGGGTTTGCCTAGGGAAGATCACTTACAGTAGAACAAAAGGTTTAGAGATGCTGCTTTTAGAAGCAGACACGGGGAAAAAAAAATAAAATAACATTCACCAGACATGTTGATTCCCTCTTGGCTCATCAAATAGGACATGAAGAGAAGGCGAGAGGGATGCTTTGAGTTATATACCGCGTTGTGAATCGGGGAGAAGTCCCTTGTGATTTTTTTTTCGGGGGTGGGCAGGTGGGGTCGGGGGAGACACGGGAGGAGGAACACGGCTTTGGAAAGGAGTGAGAACGAAAATAATTCCCATCCATCCACCCGCAAATTGCCTCCTTCTTTTCGCTGGTCCCGCGGCTTCTTGCCATGCTTTGATGTGAAGACAGAGCTCATTAGGAACAACAGGACGTAGAAACCTGCTTGTTGCCGAGGAGGGTGGTGCATTACTTAGAACCCACGCTAGCCTCTCGATCGTGAGCGGCCTAACGCGGGGGCCGGGGCCGGGGCCCGGGGGGTGGCCGGGGCCGCCCCTGGCACCGCGGCAGGAGCCCGCCCAGCGCTGGGGCGAGTGCGCCTGCTTGCGTGGAGGTGAAGGGCTATTTTAAGTCCAAGCACGTCAGGATACTTAGCATGAACCTACGAGGCGCTGTATTCAGGCAACTTCACGTGTTTTAATTTATCCCCGTCCCCCTGGTGCTATCAGCGAGCATCGTGGCCCCTCTCCGCCGCGCCCCATCCTTCCTCCTGCATTCCCCGCGCCTTAAGCCCTGTGTCCCTGCGCAGGCAGCCCCTTCCCCAGCCCACTGGGGAGGGATGCAAAATGGCTATCGTGCCACTCGGCTGTAGATACGCGAGAGATACCGGTGCCTCCCGACCGTAACGTGACATGTGAATCTTTCTGTAAGATGGTGGCAAGACAAAGGGAGCAGAGCGCCGTGGGGTGCGGGAGCGCCGGGCACAAGGTGTTGAACGTCTCGGGGTTATTTTAAGCCTCAGCCCGTGCCCGGCGCGCCGCTTCGCCCGGCACGCGTGGGTCTGCGCTCCCACGCTGAGAGGCGGGGGGCAGGGGTGAGCTGCTGCACAGCCCCCTCCCGGGGGCGCACCCCCACCACCCTTACCCGCATCGTCAGCCCCCCGCCTGGGCTCGCACCGACCCGCCTCTCCCTTCCTTGCGACCCTATAGCAGACCGGAAGCCTGGCGGGGGGCGGCAATACGGATCGAGAGACTCACCCCGCTGCAGAATGAGGAGGGGCGGGGGTGGTCACCCTCCAGTCCTGCCGCTGGGTGAGGCACCCTTGAGGCACCCCCAGCCCTTGAGGCATCCGGAGCATCCTGAGGCGGGGGCGCGCCTTTCCCACCCCCTCCTTTGCCTTCATCGTTCCAGTAGCTCTGTGCCACATTTCTGAGGGGGTTTTGTCGGGCTATTGTTAAAACTCAGGAGCGGTTCCGCGTCAAGGGGTTGAAAGCCACCTTTCCTGACATATTCTGGCTGTGCTTCTATAAATATCTAAGGCTTCCCAGGGTTTATCCGCGCCTGGATCCTCCCTGCCTGAGCTCTCCCTCCCTCCCATTTCCTCCGCAAGTGGGAGTAGAAAGTTTACCTATGCGGGAAGGAGGGCGTGCTGGAGCCTTTCCCCCCTTTTCGGTGAGGAATTTCTCAGACCTCGTGGCTCCCGGATCTACCCAGGACCCCAACAACGACCGAGTGGGGGACTGTAGCACTCTTTGCTGGGCGTCATTTACCCCTGAGCGTCCCTAAAACACAAGCCCCGAGGGGGATGCCAGTAGGGTCCGAGAGGAGAGCAGCTGCTGGGCTCAGCCCCTACCTCCTGCCCCAGCTTTTTCAGGCAGATTGGAGAGAAGAGGGGAAGGTTGCCTTGGGTGCCTAGTCAGGGTGGCAGTCCCTGGGAGTCGAGATGGGCTGCCTGATCCTCTGGAGAGCTGCACCCATCCCTGCCCGCCCAGTGCCTGCCACAGCCACCAGCCCTGCCAGCAGGGCACTGGGCCCAAGTGGCTGCCGCAACCCTACCATTGCCCTTCTTAGCCATACCCTGGACCAGGTTCATGCTCCAGGTGGAGCAGGGTAGATGGGATTTGGGGAGAGGTCGTACAGCTTTGATGCTCCGTCATGGGGGGCAGGAGCATGGGCCTACATCCTCATCCTTCCTTTACCTCCCAGTCTCTCTTGCTGCTACCTTTACCTGTGACTCCTCATGTTCTCTGCAAGCTCCAGTATCGGCAAAAGGAGATGCCCTCTAAAACTGTTCTCCCCGCCATCAAGTGCAGCTACCTCAGGCTTTGCAAGCATTGTATGGAGGCAGCTGATCCCCTCTGAGCTGTCCCTCAGGCAGGCTGAGAGGGCTGAGAATGCAACACCCCCAGCTCATGGGGTGCTAGTGCTGCCCCATTCCCCAAGGCCTTGGGGAACAGAGCATGGGCATGACACACTGTGATGTGGGATGACCTGGTGTGCCCCAGCTCGCGGCTCTGGAGAAAGCAGCAGTTTGTGCGTGGGTGCAGGGTGCTCTCTAAGAGGAGAAGTGTGGGTATGGGGGATTTTTCAAGTGCTCACCCACGCCACCCCAAAGCAGCAGCTCTTGTCGCCTCCACATATCCTGGTTTTCTTTGGTCCCTCATCACACCAGCTTGCCTCCCAGTCCTGGGTGGGGGTCTCAGAGGATTAGGACAGGATGAAACAGGTTGAGGACAGAGTGGGGAAACAGCCTGGGGGGGGGTGAGATCCACTTCAGCTTCCTCTCGGCTCAGCCTTATGTACACAGGGACAGATCTCAGCAGGTAAAAGGAAAGAGGCTTAGTCAAAGCCATGACTCCTCTTCCTAGGGATCCTGGGCTCTGATCTGTTATCACACACCTGCTGCACCAGCCCAGCTTAGCCTGTGCCAGTCTGGTGCCTCTCATGATCCTTTTGCCAGTGAGACCATCACTGGGCAAAAGAAGGTGTCAGCAGCAGTCCCCAGCCATCCCATTCTGGGCAGGATTTTCAGGAAAACTGCATTGTTGGCTGAGTTCTACATTGCACCTGTGCATGCAAGAATGCAAAGAGATCCTGAAGAGATCGAAAATACAGAGCAGGGGCAAAAATCCCAACCTGCCATCCCCATCTAATAATTTAGGCTTTGACTTGTTTTTATCTTCATTTTGGGTTACTGAGTCTCCTTGTGTAAAAAGTCTATCAACCTATGAACCAGCACACCATCCCCAAATCCTAACCTACAGGGGGAAAAGATGGTGGAATTAATGTACGTGTTTCATCTGCTGTTGGAGCTATGGCTGTTTCTTATGCTTGGTTTGGAAGCGGGCAGGTGGACCTTACTTCTAGTGCCAGAGCTCTGGAGCTGTGCTTGGATTTCCACACTGGACTCACGTTGCCTGGGTTGGCACCAGGAATCAGCGTCTCTGCAGTACCATGTGGGAGGTCTGGATGTGATTCCCAGTGCGTTTTCTCATTCCCCCAAGCTGGCAGAGGGTGGGAGCTCTATACAGACAGCACTGCTTATCTCTGCAATGGGCTCCATTCCACACTCCCATCTTTTGCTCCTTAGGATGCACAAAAGCTGCCTGTGAGATAGTCCAGACTGAGGACTGGTCCCTAGAGGTTTAGTCTTCTTGGCCTTTAGGGAAGCCACAGCTCTACTCTGCCAGTAGTCTACTTGGCAGCATCAGGGAGAGTTATCTTGCAACTGGAGAACATGCAGAGGTTTTCTTTTTTATTTTTTTTTAAATTTTCTTTGTGTAAGCTGCAGTTTATCACAAAGAAATGGATTAGTTTATAGAGAAGATGGACTAGATGGTCTTTTTGTGAGAGATGGCTCAATGTACTGTGATTGCCTAATCCACCATGGATGCTTGTAGTATCCGTTCTGCCTGACACTGGGGCTCTAGGATTGCCTGACTCTTCTGTGATTCTGTGATTAGCTTTCTTTGATATATATTTATACTAGATAGAAAAGCACAAAGTGTTGGGAGAAACGTGGCTGATCAGTTATCTGCTATTATTCTCATCTGTCCTCTGTCCACTCATTCACAGGAACTCTTTAAACCACAGTGAATCAACTTATTAATCTTGTCGCTTTGCCGCAGTCAGACGGACAATCTATGGCTGGGTACCTCCCTGCATAAGATGAAATGGCAGTTTGAAGATCCCAGCACTGAAATATGTGAAGGGGGAACCAGAGAAAAATAAGATATTTGAAGCTAAGCATGGCCCACCTGCTACCACTGCCTTGCCCCTTCTTCTGAGCCTTGTGTTTCTGCTTCAGCAAAGTACCTCATAATGGGAACTAAAAAACCTGTTTCTCCAACCACAGAGGGGGTTCCACCATCCCTCTGACTTACCCTTCTTACTTGTCTGTTCATATAAAGACAGGAAAGGAGTTGCTGGCAGGGATGCTTGCTCTGGCAAAATATGTGCCATGGTGCTAACCACCTGGGAACTAGGAGACCGACCCAGTTGGATGAAATGTCAAAGTTACCTTTCATTCTCGGAAAAAAAAATAATTCACGTGAACCCACCCTTTATCATTCAGGAGCTCATTGCTTTCTTAGCTGCAAACCACAAGCTCCCAGATGGAACTATACATTGGAGTGTGAACTGGTGTGTGTAAAAGTCGACCAAATGCATGGTGGTGATCTGTGCAAACCAGGCAGTGTATCTCCACGTGCCTGGTGTTACTGCAGGGAAAAACGCCCCCTCTCTGTGCACTCAGAAATGAATGTGTGGCACAAGGCAGTGTGCAAACTGCACTGTGATCGAGTCGATTCAAACCATGGCTAATTTGGACCTCCCAAGGCAAGGCTGCCTTTTATTTAGTGTTTTCTTGGAAGCAGGAGAGAACACTGACGCTGGGCAGGAGGAGGGATTGATTTATCTTTTTTAAATTTTTACATATACACTGAATATGCTTCATGTGTGGCGAATAAAAAGATTGCTTTTTCTGTACTCAG